GATCATTTATAATTTTGTATTGTTGTCTGTCGTCTGTCTGTTGGTCTGTCCGTCTGTTCCTTTGCCTGTCTGTCCCTCTATCTGTCCGTGTGAACGATAATTTTGTTTAGAAATATCCGATCGCTTTTACATCTCCGTTAGTTATGAACTGAATTGCATGAAATTCAATATGGGCATAGCCTTAGCCATATAATACGCAATGCCAAAAGTTGAGTCGAATCGATTCAAAATTCACAGTGTCCTTTTCGCATCTCGACCATTTATAAACCGAATTGCAAACTTTTTTATTTATAAAAGTATTGGAATGAAATTTGATACATATGCACTTGGAATAAAGGCAAATCTAACGCCAGTTTCAAAATTTGGTTTTGCGCATGCGCAGTGTCAACTTTTGTACAGTGCCACCATGCTCAGAAAAGCCGCGGAAAATATGCGAACTAATTTTGAAACAATTCCGGCTGGCCAATAGAAAGTATGCAAAACGACGCGATACATTCCGCGCCATAATTATTAATTATTCCGTTTTGACAGTTGACGCTTCACGTTATTTTTGTTTACACTTTGCTTCTTGTATTTGCTTTAATTTACGTTTTCCGTCTCCAGTTTTATAAACACTCTTCTTTTTCAAGACGCATATAGCTTGGATCTACGATCTGATAAGGTATGTAATTCCCTTAAAGTGTTTTTAAATTTTGCACCAGAATGTACGGTTTAAATTTCTAGCGCCCTGGGACACGCCCTGTCAGGGACTTTCTGAGCGTGGTGCCACTGTATTTATGGAAGAATTTAAACGAAATTTGATACATAGGCACTTGGAATAAAGGAAAATCCAACGCCAGTTTTAAAATTTGGTTTTGCGCATGCGCAGTGCCAACTTTTTTATTTATGGCAGCATTTAAATGAAATTTGATATTATAATGTATAAGCACTTGGAATAAAGGAAAATCTAACGCCAGTTTCAAAATTTGGTTTTGCGCATGCGCAGTTCCAACTTTCTTATTTAGAAAAGCATTGAAATGACATTCTTCTTATAGACTGAAATTGAAGTAGCACGTCAAAAATGGATTGCCCCTGAGATTGCCCATGTGCATGTCGATCTTTCATATTTGTGACCGGATTTTTACGATTTTGACAGAAGTTGCATCTTACAAATGGGAAATGAATGCGTGGAAATGCGCTTTATGCAAATCGTTTACGATTAGTTTTTAACTTGTTTAAGGTTTGAAGCTTTAATGGGTAATGAGAAACAAGCCTCCTTCTTTAATTATTCGACTCAAAACATTCACTTTTACCAGGAAACCTTAAATCTCTTAATACTCGTGGCACTCAAGTAACTTTCTTCTGTAACAAGAACTTTGCGATTATAAAGCAAGACCGTCTTTCCAATAATATATTGAAATAACGGCAAATTTGCGAAACACACACAAAACAATGAACGGCTACGTTTCGAACGCCCAACACGAAAAAAGCCACGATTGGCGCACTTCTCTTCTATTTAAAACAATTTCCCTTTCTTTTTAACTTCCACCTCCATTTCCTCCACAAATTAATGCGTCGTTGAGCGATAAACTGCACCTGTGTTTTCTTATCTTGAAACTAATTAGCTTTTACGCTGCAAAAGCAAAACTTCTCCCTCGGTGTTAGGTCTTGGCGTGGTTGTGGAGCTTGTATGGTTTAGTGGTCAAGGGTGCGTGTAACGCCAGACCCGACGGGGCGTGTTTTCTGATACCTTTTAGAAGTGGAATTCCTCTAATAGCCCTGGCGTTTGAATAGACGTCCCCTTGTTGGGCTCCGTGGTGGGTGTGGAGCTAGAGGGGCGAATTTACACTTTTCTGACATGGAGCGATTTACCAAACTAATTAAACAGAGGGAGCGTGCTGAACCTATGTTACAGGTCACCAAGCCTGAACAACGATCCGAGTAACGGAAGAGCTGTCTCCTGCGCTGAGTACAGGAGGAGAAAGAAGGTCAGGCTGGCCCACCTCCAAACCATCCACCTCCCGTGACCCAACCCAGACCCAAAATCAGGATCCTAGAGCAAACGGGTAGGCGGGGGGAAAAATAGGTAGAGGTCGGATGCCTCAACAACGACCCAACCGCCGACGAAGAAGGGCAGACTAGAGCTGAAAGGCGCGTGTCAGTAAGGCTGGAGCACCACGTAGTAGCTACAAGCTGCCATCTAGGTCCTGGGGATACCTGACGATCTGGTGGCGATCAAGAGGCGTGTGGAGGTGCAGAATTTCTGGACAAAGGTGTCTATTCCAGACAGCCGTGAAGAGATGCTAATAGTTTTCGGCATTGAGGGAAAAGATCGTGCTAACTTAATCGTGTAGGGAAGGTTCAGTTATGGATTTTCCTCTCTAAAGGTCAGGGTAAGTAACCCTGCCGAACCTGATGAGGTACGTACCACCACGACAACAGTACCAGTGGCTGATACAGGGGCAACTGCAAGTAGCTACGGAAGCATCACCGCCCAGGCTGTCAAGGCTACCTGTGGTCAGTGCTTGCTCCAGCTCCAGCAACTCACCCGGGCCGGTTTCGAACTGGGAGGAGTCTGCGAATATTGAGGCGCTGCTGGACTCTGATTCTACCAACGAAGGATAAACAAAAGACAGGTATTGTCTATATACATAAGTATAAAAGAGCACTTTGTACAAATAATTACTGTAGCGCGACTACTGACCCTTAGGCAGATGCCTCACTGTAAATCAAGACATTACCCTCATTCAAGAAGCCTGGGTTGTTAAATCTAGGGTTTATGGTCTTGGGGCACAGAAGGAACCGTTTCACACGGCCAGAAAAACCTAAAACATATATTTATGATCCTAGCCACCTTAAAGCTCTTCTGGTGATACCACTACTATACGGTTGCGCTGTATGCCGTCCAAAAGGGTTATCGCAACCCCAAGGTAACGGGTATTCCTCTTTACAAACATGTCATTAGAGAAAGACTTAGAGAGCACCCTTTCGGGAGATGCCTCTCGGGATCTGCCGACGTACAGGACAAAGTCTTACCAACTCATTTGATGCATAGGCACTTGGAATAAATGAAAGTCTAACGTCAGTTTCAAAATTTGGTTTTGCGCATGCGCAGTGCCAACTTTTTTTATCTATGAAAGCACTTAATTGAAATTTGAGGCATAATGCGCTTGGAATAAAGGAAACTGTAACGCCGGTTTCAAAATTTGATTTTGCGCATGCACAGTGTAATTTTTTTTTAATTTATGGAAGCATTTAAATGAAATTTGATATACGTATGTATAGATGCTTATAATAAAGGAAAATCTCAATCAATCAATAGACTACGTTGCCTTCTTACCAATGTTTGATAACCCAATAATTTTACTATATTTGCATGCTTTGTAACGGGAAAAAATCTTAATTAAAATTAATGTAACCGTAGTCAGCCTTTACATTTACCAGTCAACAAGTAGAGATTAGCATAGCCACTTGCCACTAAGGCACAGATTTATTTATATTAGGGCGGTATTAGATTGTGGTAATTAATGATTTTAGTTTTTCATCTTTCAGTGCAATGTCCTCCTAATTAATACAAAAGTGTCACGAATTTATTACAAATTAACGTGTCGCTCATTCGATTTCCATCAACTTCTAAAATTTAATCATGTGTCACGTAGAAGGGAACTCATTAAACTTTGAAGCTTCATCTTTCGCATCCCCAGCGGGGTGCATTAATCATCGCCTAAAAACTCATTTATTGATATCCTATGGATAACATCTTTTTCTTACCCTCGTCAGCGTTGTTTAAAACTTCACGGCTGGATTTCAGTTTGGTCATTTCGACAGCTACTAATTGAAATTTTGATTGAAGCTTGTATATTATGAAAACATGCTTCATGTTCTTGAGAATGCCTAGGATGTAGCAGGACACAACACTGCATTAGAGTCTTGCACCGTTAATGCAAATAGGCACTCGCTCAAGTGGCTGAACCTAACTTGCATCCTTAGTATAGTCACTGAAACTGAGTAACGGCTTACGTTACAAATACCTTGAACTCTTCCATTAGCCAAACAGAGTCTGTAACCGCACTATTCGTTATTAAGTGCCAACTTTAATTTCCTAAGAGGTGGTTCTCTTTAAAAATGTGAAAAAAAATGTTGTAGTTTATTATGCGAAACTTATAGAAAATGCAACTTTAAAATTTAAGATGGCAGTTACGGACTCTGTTGGTCATTTTTACAACTTGAAAATATTTTCCAGCGATTTTTCATGACCGATATACCCAACAATTTGTTTTGCCCCTAAGTCATATGATGAACGGTTCTCGAGATATGGCCGAGGAACAGTCTTATTGGGTCACCCGGTACGTAGTTATAGAGCCCTTTTTGTAGATAATCGAAGTAAATTTGTATTAAAAATCGGTTTATCAGGAAACAGTCCCCTGGCCGAAAATGGTAAAGCTTCTCTAACAAATTATAGGGTAAAGTAAAGGAAGCAATTAAAAACAGTCGACGCCATTAAATTTCAGCCGCTAAAATATTCGCGCAATAAATTGGCGGAAATGTACCAAAAAGTGGCACATTTTACTTCCTTCGAGATTATGGTGACTGAACGAAGCGTGTAAATAACTTCGTGTTTCTCAATTAATCTAAAGCAAATAAAGCTGATCAGTACAAATGCGAACGCTACGCAAACTTCACTTACAAAACCGTACGTAATTAAGTTGGAGGATAAAATGCTTACAAGCTCCCGCTGTCATCAAATTAGAAGGAAAATCAAAGCCGCCATAATAAATTACCTACCACGCATTCGTTACCTTTTAGGAAAATTATTACCGAAACCGCGCGTTATTTGAATATAGATTCCGTCTCTTAATTTGGGCCTTTGTAAAATTACACAAAGACTTAAATTGAGCTTCGCAATCTTCTTTGTTAAGTTAAATTGGATATTTTAATAGACATCAAAGAATTGGTTGCCTTTACGGCCCCGAATATTTCGTGTTTTGGGTCGTCTTAAAGGGATAGTGAAACGAACTTACGTTTAGTTCGGCTCCGGCCGTTGGAAAGTAGCGAAATGGCGGTGTGCGCCCTTTGACGTATTGAAATATCTTCACGCCTGATTTCTTCCATTCGACTTTGTGTAGCTGTTCTAAGGGCACGCTGTGATCACACTTTAACGTCACATCCCCGCCTCGTATCGCGTATTTTGGCATGATGAGTTCTAATCGATCGATTGTTGCAAGTGAACCTGAAACAAAGAAGTTGCGTTAGTTCCATAGAATCAATGTCAAAGGGCAACAAAATTACACAGCGCAATATAATATGAGCTGAAAGCCTTTAACAGAAATAAAGATTAAAAGAATTAAAAAAAATAAAAAGGGTCTCTAGCAAATAAGATGAAAAAAAGAAGAATCATAAATAGGAGAAATCAGAAGAACTGATAAGTCAAAGGTTCAAAAGGACCATATAAATAATATAAAACAAATGACCCACTTGACATATCAGATGAGACCAAAGGATCAAATCTTAAGTGGTTAAAGGGATACGAGGGGACACAAGGACCAAAGTGAAGTGAAAGAAACAGGCATAGATGAGATCAAATAGGTTGGAAGAATAGGAAGTAGGGTAGACAAGTAGAATAACAAGGGCGTATATGGACCGTTCAAAGTCGCTCACCAACCTTGAAAAGGAGGTCAATCTGACTTTCACGAGCCACCTGACATGTGGCATTGACTTTGGAAAGGAGATGAAGGCGAAGTTTGCGTCCCGCTATCCTCTGGTAGTGACCTTGGGCTGTAGGTATCCTTGAAAAGTGGTCAAGGTAAATCTGTGAGATCGGTTTCTCGATTTGAAAGTTAATGACCCCATGTTTTGTGGTCTCTTTATTTAATTTTAGGGTCAACAAAAGTCAATTTTTCTATTTTGCTGCCACACTTTACTTTCAAGGTCTTTCAACGGAAATCGAACACAAACGTGAACGCGAGTCGAAGGCCAAACGTAAACGCGAATCGGATCCATACGTTAACCCCAATTGAACCTTCACGTTTGGGTTTGCAAATGCCATCAACCCCTGATCAAGCCTGTAAAATCTTGCCGAAACCCCAATCCATCCCAAACCTAAACGCAATCGAACTAAAGTTGAAGGCGAGCCCAAACGTGTACCCAAACCGAGACGTAAACACGAACTCAAACGTGATGGTCCAATTGGTGTTGACGTAAGGATCCTATTCGCGTTCACGTTTGGGTTCAATTCGCATTTAATGATCATGAAAATGAAGTATGGCAACAAAAATAGGGATATTGACCTTTGATAACCTTGAAATTAAATTATCCAGTCCAGAAATAGTGGTCATTGACCTTTGGGGAGCGAGATCAATCTTTCAGATTTACCTTCACGAACATTTCAAGGTCACACACTTTCCAAAATCACTACCACATGTGACAGGCTCTTAAACTTCACCTTGACCTATTCTCCAAGGTCACTGTGAGGTGGCGAGAGACCTTGAACGGTCCATGTGCCGCGAAAAAGGGAGTTATTTAAACTTGGATGACCTTGAAAATAGAATATTAAATCCCCATTAAACTTTTATAACCTTAAAAATGAACTATACAAATTGGTCCATTAACCTTGAAAATGAAATAAAATACGGCAAAAATGAGGTCGTTGAACTTTGATGACCTTGAAAATAAAATATGACATTACAAAAATGGAATCATTGCCTGGTTCGTAAGGATCGAAAGGGAGCAAAATATCAGAAGATTCGAGGATATCCTCGGAAGAATTGTAAGGATCAGTGTTATGTGAAAAGCATATGTAATGACTGAAAGAGTCAGAGAGCCGGTAGTATCGGAGAAACTGGAGAAGCTGGTTGGATGGGAAGGATTGGACGAATCAAAAGGATTTGATTGAAGTATCAGAAGTATCGAATGTATTGGAAGTGTCGAAAGTAACGGAAATATTGAAAACGTCGTTATAATATATCGCAACTGTCAACGATGGCAATGATATCAGAGTTATTTCAGATTTATCAGCGGTATCAAAAGTGTCAAAGGTGTCAGAGGTTTCAAAAGTGTCAGAAGTGCCAGAGATGTCAGAAGTACCTATCAAAAAAGGGTTAGAACGATCAGATAGAAAGTAGTATAAAATGATCGGAAGGATATGAGTACATGGATGGATTGTGTGATGTTTCATGATATAGGTTATAGAAGATACGCCAATGGTGATGATTTTACTTACTGACTCGTTGACTTTTAATTGTTCCTTATATGTTCGTTGTATTAACTTTCTGACTTTGTGTATATATATATATATATCTGTTATGTGTATATTATATGGTTCAATACAGTAAATAAGGCGGTATTGATACTTCAAAAACTTAACATGGATAAATTCATGACAAGATAAATTGGAAACGTTGTATTCAAATAAACGCTAAATCGATACGTTACCTGAACTATATCTTACCTTACTTAATTAATAAATACTGTCAAATGCAGGTAATATACGTTGACTGAAATATTTATGATGCAAACGTTATAGGTTACAATTGAACGAAATAAACAATTTAATGCAAGTTTCCTAACCGAAAAATCCACCTTAAAGTTAATAAACTATTTTAATGAATATTCTAATAATAAATTTAATTATATTGTACTCCAAAGTCTCACGCAACGCAACAATATAAACGATTGTTCAGTGAAACGCAAACGCAATTCAGTTTATTAAATACGTAGGGTAGGAACTTATCTTGAGTCAGGAGAATACGGTGGGTATGACGATACACAAGGACGTCATGCAGGTAAAGCTGGGTACTAACGTTCAGTTCGCTGGACAATTTTAACCGGAAAGAAATTCATTGATGAGAATTGTGAAAACTAACACAACCGGAATGATTTTGAGCAACGATTATGACCGGTCGGTCAGAACTGGCAGACCACGGACTGCCGATGCGCTGAACGTGAGTACCGAGCTTAATACGACCCAGCCTCGATTGGTGTTGAAATTGTTTCTTCGCATTGATCTACTGTTAATGTGTACGGAAAAGCATTTGTGGAACAATATTTAGCACTTTTTCCACTAAACATAATAATTAGCGCCACATACAAATACGACAAGTTCGTTGGATACCTTACGCGTTTGTCTCCCCTGATCATCTCTACCTGAATGCGCATCCGCACTGAAAAGCGCGCTACAACTTCTCTAAATTCTCGGAGGTACCGGAGGAATTAGATTATCAAATGGACCAGAGGTCAAATGGTTCCAATGCGTGATCAAAAGAACCAAAAGAACCAGAAGAACCATTCGTATCAAAATGCTCAAATGGATCAAGGGTATCGGATGGACCAGCAGAAGTAGATAAAACGAAAGAATCAGAAGAATCGAAATGATTAAATGCATAGGACTGATTGCTAAAATTCAAAAGATCGGAACATATAGAAAAGCGGGAAGGGTGAGATTACAAAAGCAGACGGGTCAGGGTCAGGAAAGATCAGAGTGATACAAACGAAAGGATCTGAAAGGATGCCAATGGTCGAACTGGTCGTATGAATCGGATGAACAGGAATGGTTGGAGGTATTGCGAAAAAGGGAAGTTTTAAAGGATACCAAGGATCAGAAACGGTAATAGGAGAAATATGATCGAAAGGATCTGACTGTATGGATGGATTACAGTCTACAGGGATCAGGAAATAAGAAAAAAAATTGTTGTATCAGAAAGGTTGAAGGTATCTGAAGAATCATAGGCCTACAAACAACCAGATCAGGATCAGGATTGAAATGAATCAGATAGATCATATGACTAAAAGTGACATTGTAATCATCTAGATCAGATGTAGTAGAGGTATAAAAGGGATCAGATTGACAAGGCTTCTCGGAAGAATCGGATGGATCAGAGAAGTCAAATGGAATACAGGCATCGGAGAGATCAGAAGGACCAGAAGAATTATTAGGATTAGTATGATCGATGGATCAAAAGTATCAGATCTACTAGTAGAAACACAACAATCAGAAAGTTCGAAAGGATTATAAGAAAGTAAAAAAAGATCGGATACACCAGAAGGAGAAGGAAGAAAGGAGTTTAAGTGTTAAAGAACAAAGGATAATGTAATAATTAAAAACATCCGAATGTACTCGTATAATAATGATCGGAAGGATTGTAAGAATATAAAAAAAAAACAGATGGATTGCAGGCATCGTTAGAATGAGAACCACAACGATCTCAATAACCAGAATAGCTAGAAGAATAGGAATGCTAGGAAAAACTGAAAGAATGGGAGGAATCAGGAGGACAAGAAAAATCACAAGTATGGGAAATATCAGGAGCATCAAAAGGATCGGCAGTGTCAAAGGCGCCTAAAGTAAAAGACGTGTCAATGGTGCATCAGAAGTATCAGAGTTATCAAATGTCGCAACGATTACAAGAGGTGTACGTGTGAAAGATCAGAAAAATAGGAAAAAGAAAAAATAGAAAAAATTAAACTGATCGGATTGGTCAGAAGGTTTTAAAAAATCGGAAGGGTTGAACGATCGGAAACTAAAGAACACCAAAGGTCGGCAGGACCGCATGGCTCGAAAGAAACGAAAAGATGGCAAGAATCGGGATTATCAGAATGGAGACATAGAAATCAAAATAATCAGAAAGATTAAAATGGAAGGGTTAAAATTCAGAATTCCAAAGCATCAACAGGATCAGAACGACAAGAAGGGCCGAAACGCTCAGAATAATCAGAAGAATAAAGATAACCGAAAAGATTGAAAGGTTCTGAAGTATTAGAGAGACTAGAAAAGAAGGATGGAAGAAGCAATGGAAGGATCAGGATGTTGGAAATGTGGGATGTGTAAGATGTATTGAAGGTATCAGAGGTGTCAATTGTGTAAACGGTGCGAGGAGTGTAATATGAATGAAAGGTGAGAAGGATCCGAAAGATTGGAAGGATTGAAAAATTACGAAGCACCAGAGGAATAATGAGTACCAAAAGAATTAGACGCATCAAAAAGATTAGAACAATCTGGATTTTCAGAAAGGCTAGAGAAATGGGAATGATCGGAAAGATTACATGAATCGAAAGGATTAGAGGATTAGAAGTATAGGAAAAGTATGAAATAGGACAGAAGGACTAAAAGAATCAGTAGGGTGATACAGACTAAACGATCAAAATGATCAGGATTATGATTATCGAAGATCAAAAGGTACCAGGAATGGTTGTAAGTATTGAAGGGAATAATAACATCGAAAGGGCAAGAAG